AAGAGCCACCTCCTGACAAGCCCTTTCCCACTGGACTGGCTCTTCCTTGTCACATACGCCCTGTTCAAGTTCCTCAACTCTGAGTTTTGGTCCTAGGGCCATGCTCAACCAGGACTTTCTGTGGGTCTGATGGGCCCACATTTAACTCTAGGCAGCAACCTTCTAAATGATGGGGCAAATGGGCAGCCTTTGGAACGAGGTTTTTGAGTGAGTGAGTGACGAACTGGGCCTATCTTTCTGGTGAGTGTGTGGGGAGAGGGAGAGAACCCACGTGCAGGGGTTCTTAGGCTTTGTAGTGTGAAGTGACTTAAAATGAGGGTGAGACTTTCCTGACGGAAATGAAGCAGCACCTGAAGGTTGCCTTGGGTGCCAAGCAGACCATCAGGGCTGTGGATTAACTTGGGGAATGTATGCTTTGCAAAGCACTTCCTGACATGCTCCCTCATTTAATTTTCCCAGTGACCCTGAACGGATGTGCATGTGTGTATGTGTGTGTGTAGGTATGGGGGGGAGCATTACCCCCATTTAACTGATGACGAAACCAACTCTCAGAGAGCTTAAGTAACTCCTATGGTCACACAGCCAGCATGTGGCAGAGCTAGGACCCGAACCCAGGTCTTCAGCCTCCCTTATCCCATTCTCTTTTCATTACGGACATTATAGCTTAGGGAACAGGAGGCAGAGAGACCTTTCAGAGGGCAAATCAGAGGGAAGCATGACTGCTGACATGGCCTCAGCCTCCCGGCATGGGCAATCTGGCTACTCTGAGCTAGACTATGAGGTGGGGGCATGCAGATGGGGGAGACGGTGCTTGTCAGTCTTCTTTTCTCCCACCAATTCATGCCTGCTGCTTGTCTTTCCCCTGTGGACTTCGGCTTCTGGGCGTATTCCTCAGCTCTGCAGCCTGACCCCACTTGGGCCACCCCACGGGGACACAAATGAGAAGCCGATGGATGATGTGTCTTGAGCCTCTACCCATCTTCCAGACCCCAACTTTTATTTTTCTTTTCTGTCCTTTCCAAAGGGGAAGGAAATCTCTTCCCCCTCAGCCCTGAGTGTAAAAAGAACCCCCGGGCCCTCCTTCTGAATTCAAGGGCACAGCTGGCAGGAGGACTTGCAGTGGAAGAACACTACTCCTCCTTGACCATTTATTCAGTCATTTGCGCATCATTCAGTAGACCTTCACTGAGTGAGTGTGGTTCCCGGCCAGCGCCCATGGCAAGCTCTGCCAGGACACAGAGATCAAGACACTCCAGACTTGGCTAGTTCAATAGCCTTTCCCCAGATATTCTTGTTTCAGTTCCATAATCAGGGCTGGCAAGAGTTATCATCCCATTTCATGGAAGAAGGAACTGAGGCTCTTGGTCAGAAGTGACTTATCTGTCCATAATCACAAAGCCAGGTAACTAGCCTAGCTGAGATTTAAGTTTAGTTCTCTCTGTGCCCTAAGCCTATGTTCCTTTGAGTCACCAGGATGGATCTGTTCCAGCCCTTCCCTCATAGCCCTCAGAAGGAAGCAAGCCTGCCAACACCTTGATCTTGGACATCTAGCCTCCAGAATTGGGAGACAATCAATTTCTGTTGTTCAAGCCACCCAGTATGTGCTAGCAAATCAATATACCCATACACAGGGCTCTATCTTCCGTATTGGACCGAGTGCTCCTTGAGGGTAGGAGCCTGACATCAAGCAGTCCAAGGCTTGGTGCCCAGTACATGGTCAGTCAAGAGTTGTTGGAGTGACCTTGCCTGGGGTGGCCGGGGTTTGTGCATACTAGCCTGAGAGGCTGGCTGCCCTGTTCCTCTCAGGAAAAGTCTGGGGGGACCCACCTACTGGCCCCTTTGTCCCTAGATTTTCTGCCAGTCAAACAGGACATCTTTTCTCATGCAATAGGGTATGAGCGGCTGTAGCCACTTGCTGACTATGCAACTAGCAAAGAGCCTGCATAGTCATGTTCCTGGAGACTCCGGGTCACTCTGGGAAATACTCAGTGCCAGTTCCCTTCACTGAACAGTATGGGTGAGGGCCTTGAGAATCAGGTTCTGGACTCACCCTGCCCTAACCTGACAGGAGAGAAACTCTCTGGGGATTGGAGAAGACTTTACAAAGTTGGTGATGTTGGAGCTGCAGCTTGAAGAATGCATAGGAAAGGACAGTGGGGAAAGGGAGAAGAATTCCAGACAATAGGAATTGAATGAACAAGGAAAAGCCATGTGAAGGTACGTGGGATGTTCAGGAACAGAAGCACATCTAGGTTGATTAGAGCACAAGGATTTGGGGAAGGGGTGGCTGAGGATTTCGAGAGCTGAGTAGGAAGTGGAATGTTGGGGTGAGGTGGGCCCTGCACATCAAGCCTAACTTGGAACTTCATTCTGAAGCCAGTGGAGATCCAGGTCTTCTGAGTGGGAGGCATGACTTTGCAGTAGGAAGACTATCTTTCATACTAGGAGCAGTGTCGGGGACAGTCTGGAGCAAGGGAGACAAGTAAGGGGGCTTCTGCCAGCACCCATGTGAGACATAAGTAGTCTGAACTCCAGAACTCAATGGTGAGTGGTGGCTGAGGGAGACTGAGGAGTTTCTAACTGGGCAGCTGGGAATATATAGTGGGTCTCCCGGCCAAAACCTAAAAATGTCCAGCCCCTGCCTGTGTGCTCTCCAAGGTCAGAGGAACTTCCATTCCCTCCATAGAGCCCACTGCCAAGTTTATCTCAAGGGCCCAGCACAGAGGGAAGAGTCTCTCAGGAAAGGTTTGTAGACTAAATTAATTTTCGGAATAAATGAATGCTAAGCTTCTGTTTTAACACTGTAGAAAGACTCTCTGCCCCCGCAAAGACAGAGGGAATGAAGGGTGGGGAGACTTCATCGTGAAAAGCAACTAAGAGTTAAGTCCAAAAGTTCAGAAGCACTAAGAGAAGTCAGTTCCCGATAGCGGAAGAGTTTAAACTTTAGACGTGCAACAGCTCACTGTGATTTACACGGCTGTGCAGAGGGGGGGAGGACAGCTCATCTAAAGCGATCTAACTCATTCAGTAGTGTTAATTTTCGATGGCTTTGCATCAGTTTCAACCTCGTAATACAGAAAGAAAATGCCCTTTCAGGGCCAAGGAAAATGCTGTGTTCAAAATGTCACCCTTTGCCTATTTCCGCAGGCCCCAGGATGAGTATGCACCATGAGCCCTTTTCTGTGAAAGTTCTGCAAAGCCCTCAGGGGCACACGGCATGAGCCCCTTCCTCTAGCAAGAAGTTGTCTCAGAAGGATGCCCACATGGCAAAATCTGTGAGTCCTTGATCCCGCTGTCCTTTGGCATATAAATGGCATCCCATGCCACAAATGAGAGGGCTGATCAGTAAGAAAGGACTTGCAGCTCTTCTGGCATTTGTGCTCAGCAGAGCAGGGAAGGCCTTCAAAGACTGGGGTCCACAAGGGAGTAGCTAGCACAGGCTGATGGTAAAGCTGTGAGTACAACCCGGAGCTCTTGACCCCTGGGCCTAGGCTCCTTCCTCTGGACCATGCTGCCTGCCTCTCAGGCTAGACCCACAGATCCAACTAGTCTGACCATCTTGAAAGAACTGTCTAGTCAAGTCAGTGACCATTAATTTGGCTAATTCCTTTTATTTACCGAAATGATCAGTTGTTTGCATTGGACAGGAAATGAGTCTAAATAGACTAGTTGTTTAAATAGGTCCTCGACTATCATTGGCATGGAGTGCTTTGTGATTTAGAATCGGGGGTTGTCTGTCACAGTTAAATAGCCCATCGAAGAGCAAGAGATTAAGAATAGACCTAAGTGGCACATCAGACAATGGGTTACTATTCTGCAATAAAAAGAAATGTGCTATCAAGCCATGAAAAGACATGGAGGAATCTTAAATGCATATTGCTAAGTGAAAGAAGTCAGTCTGAAAAGGCTACGTAGTGTATAGTTCAATTTATATGACACTCTGGAAAAGGCAAAACTATGGAGACAAAAAATAAAGTAAAAAGATCACTGTTTGCCAGGAATTTGAGGAGAGTGGGGGAGTGATGAAGGGGTGAAGTACAAGGGATAGTTCGGGCAGTGAAACTATTCTGTATGATTTTGTAATGGTGGATACATGACACTGCATTTGTCAAAAACCACAGAATTATACAACACAGAGGATGAACCGTAATGTAAACTGTAGACTTAAGTTAATGATCATGCATCAGTATTGGTTGCATAAGTATTGGTTCAATAGTGATCAACTGTAACAAATGTACCACCTCCAATATAAGATGTTAATAACAGGGGAAACAGTATACAGGGACTCTCTGTACTTTCTGCTTGCTTCTTCTGTAAACCTAAAACTGCTCTAAAAAGTAAAGTCTTGTAATTATTAAAAATAATAATAATAGGCCTCAGTGTCCAGATATAGAAGGAAGTAGTACAGGGCTGGAAAGCTTCTGTTCCATAATAGCCAAAAAGGCAAATGCCTGGCAGACTCTGGAACCCTGGCTACAGGTCTGTACTGACCCATGTGAATGAACATGGAACAATTCAGTCGTGTATTTAAATATTTAGGAACAGCCATCTATAGGTATCACGCAGTCATGGTCTTCTGTGATATGCTGTATGAATCTAAACAATAACCCCAGAACCATACAAAATGGAAAAAGCAAGACGAACTAGAAACTCACAGGATAATCAACAATCTATGGTCATCGAAACACTTCAAAATGTTTCCTTTCAATGTAGATCAACTGCATTAATTCCTATGATTTTCTCACTAAAGGCAGAGGATGTGGGTATATACCAAGAAGTGGAACTCTCTCACTGTTCTTCCCAGCCTAGGTTTTTGTGCTAAGTCCTTGAGTTCCTAGAACCTGGAGCAAACGAACAGGTATGACAATAAAAACACAAAAGAACACAATAAGCAAATACCACTAGGTTGATCGTATATGTGCAATTGACAATTATGGAACACAGCACTCAGAGTAAATTCTACACACAGTTCAAAGTACTTCACCATAAGTATTATTAGTTCTGACCTTTGCTGAGTTAGATGCCTGGAAGTGGGACCATTTTCAGGACGTTGAAGAGATCCTTCAAAAACAAAAACGAACAAACAAAAGCCCAAGAAAACATTTTTTTTTCATGAGAGAGAAGACTTGGTATTACAAAGATGGCAATTCTTCCAAAATTAATCCATAAATTTATTTCAACTCCAATAAAAATCCTAACAGATTTTTTTCATCAAACTTAACAAGCTGACCATAAAATTTATATGGAAGAACAAAGGGCCAAGGGCAGTTAAAACACTCACGAAAAAGAATGAAAGAATGAGCAGGGATGCTCACGCTACCAGATAGCAATATTTATTATAAGCCTATAGTAATAAAACCATGTGGTATAGGCATAAGGAAAAAATAAAGCAGACCATTGAAACAGAAGAGCCAGCTCAGAAAGTGACCCACAAATGTAGGAAAACTTGATATAGGACAATGACAGAATGGTAGACACATAGGGAAAGGTTAGGCTATTTAATAAACTTAGATAATTTGATAACCATGTGAGAAAAAAAGTAAATCCCTAGATCAAAAAAATAAAATAAGTTCAAGGTGAATTATAAAGCAATATGTAAAAGAAAACCATTAAATTTAAGGAACACACAGAAGACTACATTTATGGTAAGATAGGATTCCTTAAGAGAAAAAAACACGAGCCATACTTGAAAAATATTAATAAATTGGATTTTTTAAAATTAAAACATTTATATGGCAAAGGCAACATGAAGTTCAAAGACAGCTGTAGATTGGGTATTTGTAGATATTTTCAACAGACTTAACTGGAAAGCAATCACATTTATAATATCTTAAAACTTCCTCAGATCAAAAAGCAAGACAGACAACCCGATTGAAGTGGGCAAAACTGTTAACAGGCACTACACAGAGGGTAAGAACTGAAAGGCCACTAAAGATATGAAAAGTCAGTCAACTCCCTAGTAATCAGAGAAATACAAATTCAAGCAAGAAGACACATTTCATATCCATTTGGCAAAATATTAAAATCTAACTATCGGGAATTTTGATGGTGTGAATGCGGACTGCTGCTGGAAGCACAAACTGACATAAACACTCGGGAGACCAACCTGACAATGCCTAGTAGATAACTGCTCACAATTTCCTAAAGTGAAAGCTTAGATAGTATGCTTGAGACCTTTCTTCTTCTCTAAGTTAAGCACTTAATGCTAAACATGTCTCTGGAAGCACTGTTTTAGCTGTACCCTATACATTTTGCAATGTGTTTTCATTTTTATTTAGTTCAAAACATTTTCTATTTTTTCTCAAAATTTGTTCTTTGACCCATGGGTTATTTAGAAATGTGTTGCTTAATATCCATATATTGATATCATTAAGAGAGTGAAAAGATGACCTATAAAATGGGAGAAAATACTTGTAAATCATATACCTGACAAGGGATTTGTATCTACAATACATAAAGAACTCCTACAACTCAACAAAAATACAAATAACCATATTAAAAACGTGCCAAGGGTCTGAACAGATACTGCTTCAAAGAAGATATACAAATAACCAATAAGCACAGGGAGTGCTGTTCAACATCCATAGTCATCAGGAAAATGTAAATCAAAATCATAATATCACTTCATACATACTAGGATGGCTAGAATAAAAAAGTCAGATGACAACATGTGTTAGGGAGGATGTGGAGAAATCAGAACCCTCATGCAATGTTGATGGGAATGTAAAATGGTGCAGTTGCTTTGGAAAAACAATGTGGCAGTTCCTTAAACAATTAAATCAAGGGTTACAATACAATCCAGCTAATTCCATTCTTTCATATATACTCGATGAGAATATATGTCCACGCAGAAACTTGTACATGAATAATTATTGCAGCATTATTCATTATAGCCAAAGGGTGGAAACAATTCAAATAACTATCAATGGTTGAATGAATAAACAAAATGTGGTTTATCTATATAATGAATATTATTTGACCATAAAGAAAGGAATAAAGCCCTGATACACACTGCAATATGGATGAATGTTGAAAACGTTCCGTTAAGTGAAAGACGCCAGTAGCCAAAGACTGTGCTATTCCATTCATATAAAAGTTAAGAGTAGAGAAATCTATAGAGACAGAAAGTAGATTATTGTTTGCTGAGGTCTGGGCGGGGTGGCGAGGTAGAGAGATGATAGCTAAAGGATCCAGAGTTTCTTCGTGAGGTGATGAAAATGTTTTCAAATTGACTGTAGTGATGGTTGCACATACCTGTGAATATGCTAAACCCCATCGAATTATATACTTTAAATGGGTGAATTGTGTGATATTTTCATTATATCTTTAAAGAGCTTTTAAAAAACCATATAGTGATAATTTCTCTGATATCTGTATGTTATCGATTTCTCGTTTGATTGCTTGGCAACCAGAGAACATCCCATACATGATTTAAGTTCTCTTAAATTTATGGAGATTTTTTAATGATCTTTCCTTGTAAATGCTCTGTGTACACTTAAAAATCATGTATATTCTAAGCTTGTTGGATGGAATGTTCTATAAAAGTCAATTAGATCAATTTGGATGATACTATAATTCAAGTATTCTGTATCTTTACTGATTTTCTATTTGTTCTATCAATGACTCAGAGAGGAGTATTGAAATATCCAACTATAATTGTGGGCTTGATTATTTCTTCTTATAGTCCTTTCAGTTTTTACTCCACATATTTGAAGTTTCCCTATTAGATGCACATGCGTTTAGGGCTGTTATGTTCTCTTGATGAACTGACCTCTTTATTATTATAAACTATTCCTCTTTTTCCTTGGTAATATTTCTTGTACCAAAATCTACTTTGCCTGATGTTAATATAGCTATTGCAACTTTCTTTCCATTAGTGTTTCTCTATTTTTTTCTTTTAAACTATATGTCTTTAGATTTAAAGTGAGATTCATATAGAGAACATAGAGTTAAGTCTTGATTTTTTCACCCAAAATGACAATCTTTATCTTTTAATTGGCATATTTAGACCATTTGCATTTAATTAAGTTATTGATTTTGCTGGGTTTTAATCTATAACCTTGCAGTCTGATTTTTATTTGTTCCATTTAGTCTTGTTTTTTTTTCTTTTCTTTTCCTGTATTCTTTTTGACTAAGTAAATATTTTTATGATTCTTTTATCTCCAGTATTGGCTTTAATGACTCTCTTTGTCTCATTTTTATCGGTTATTCTCGGATTTTCAATAAAGTCTTTAATTTAGCACAATCAGGTGATATTATACCATTCTATATATACCCAAAGAACTTAAAACAGCACACTTACCTTTCCCTTTCCTGTTCTTTGTGCTATTGTTATCATACATTTTATTTCTACATATTATGAACACCCCGATACACTGTTATTACTTTTCATTTTAACAGTTTTCATTGAAGAATACAAAAATAACAAAAAAAATGTATTTTATGTGTACTCACATGATTAAAAGTTCCAGTGCTCTTCATACCTTTATTTGATCCAAACTGTCATTTGGTTTGCTGGCCATGAATTCTCTCAGCTTTTGTCTGAAAAGTCTTTATCAAAAAAAAAAAATCACAAGACATCAAGAGAGGAATAAAGAAACAAAGATTCTACAAAACAGAAAAATATTAACAAATGGCAATAGTAAGTCCTTACTTTTCAATAATTACTTTAAATGTAAACAGATTAAATTCATCAATCAAAAGACACAGAGTGGCTGAATGGATAAAAAGATAAGATATAACTATATGCTGTCTCCAAGAGACTCACTTTATCTTTAAAGAAATACATAGGCTGAAAGTTAGAGAAGGAAAAATATATTCCATGCAAATGGTAACCAAAAGAAAGCAAGGGTGGCTATACTTATATCAGACAAAAAAGGCCTTAAGTCAAAAACTCTTAACAAGAGACAAAGAAGGTCACTATATAATGTCAGAGGGGTCAATTCAGCAAGAGGATATAACAATTATAAATATATATGTACCCAACTTTGGAGCACCTAATTATGTAAAGCAAATATTGACAGAACTGAAGAGAGAAATGAACAGCAATACAATAATAGTGGGGGATTTCAATACCCCACTTTCAACAATGGATAGATCATCCAGTCAGATAATCAATAAGGAAAGAGAAGATTTGATTAACACTATAGACCAAATGGATCTAACAGACATATATACAGAACATTCTATCCAACAGCACCAGAACATACACTCTTTTTAAGTACACACAGAACATTTTCCAGAACAGATTACATGTTAGGCCACAAAACAAATCTTAACAAATTTAAGAAGACTGAAATTCTATTAGGTATCTTTTCTGACCACAGAAAATTCACACATATGTGGAAATTAAACAACACATTCTTGAAATAGCCAATAGGTCAAAGAAGAAATCAAAAAGGGAAATGAGAAAACATATCTTGAGACAAATGAAAATGGAAACAAAACATAACAATTTATGGGATGCAGCGAAAGCAGTCCTAAGGGGAAATTCATTGCAATAAATGTCTACATTAAGAAAAAAGAAAGCTCTCAAGTAAACAACCTAACTTTATACCTCAAGGAACTAGAAATAGAACAAGCTAAACCCAAAATTACCAGAAGGAAGGAAATAATAAAGATTAGGGCAGAAATAAATGAATTAGAGGCCAGAAAAATAATAATAAAAATCCTCTTAATTTTTGAAAGATATTTTCACTGGGTTTAGATTTCTAGGATGCCATTTTTTTTCCTTCAGTACATTGAAGATGCCACCACATTGTCTTCTACCTTGCGTGGTTTCCGTCAAGAAGTCTGATGTGATCTTTACTTTCTTTCTTCACGTAATATGGCTCTTTTCCTCTTTTACTATTTCTCTTTTTCAATGTTTTTCAGCAATTTGATTATGATGTGTCATGATGTCATTTTCTTTACATTTATTATGTTGGAGTTTGTTGAGATTCTTGGATAACTAGATACTTGTTTTCATAAAGTTCAAAATTTCTCCGGCCTCATTTAAAAAAAATATATTTTGTCCCTCCTTCCTGACAGTTCAATTGTGCATGTTTGATCACTTTATATTATCCATAGGTCACTCATGCTTTGCTCCATTTTTTCCCCAGTCTTTTCTCTCTGTATTTCATTTGAATAGTTTCTATAGCTAAGACTTCAAGTTATCTAATCTGCAGTTTCTGTTCTGTTAATCCCATCCATATATATTTTTTATTTCATATATTTTTAATCTCTACCAGTTTGATTTGAGCCTTTTTTTATATCTCCCACTTCTCTCTTCATCAAGTTCATTTCTCTTCACCTTCATAATTATACAGAGTGTATTTATAATAGCTATTTTAACATTCTTATCTGCTAATTCCATCATCTTTATCATTTCTAAGAGTCTATTTCTTTTGATTAGTGTTTCTTCTCATTATGAGTCATATTTTCCTGCTTTTTTGTGTAGTCAATACTCTTTGAACATTGTGTATTTCACATTGCTGGGTGCTGGATTTTGTTGTACCCCTTTAAATATTGTTGAATTTTATTATGGAACACAAATTATTTGGAATCGGTTTGATTCTTTCGCATTTCGCTTTTAAGCTTTGTTAGGGCAGATCTATAGCAGCAGCCTTTACTCTAGGGATAATTTAGGCCTATTACTAAGACAATATCTTTTTGAGAAATCTACCTGATATCCTAGGTATTATAGGTCTTTCCACACTGGTTGGTGGGAAAAGTGAACTATTCCCAGCCCTGTGTGAGTTCTGATAGTAGTTCAGTCTACTGATTTCTAGCAGTTCTTTCCATGACCAAGGGTAGTTTTTTTTCATTCATATGCAGATCAGAATTCAGTCAAAGACCCAAGGGGATCCTCTAAGTATCTCTGATGCTCTTTCTGTGTGTACAGATCCTACTTCTCTAGTGTTGTGCCTCACCATTTCTAGCCTTCTGGGCTTTCATGAACCCTTACCTTTGTCTCTCCTATTGAGTGAGATCTCTAGGATTGTGTGGTTTCCCTTTTCCTTCCTGAAGCCTAGATAACGATTCTAGGCAATAAGCTATAACGATCATAGGGCTCACCTTACTTTTTATCCCTCTTTTGGAAATTATCATTTTGTACTTTTGTACTGCCTGTTGTCAAATGTCTGAAAACCACTATTTCATATGGTTTGCTTGATTTCTAGTTGATTAAGATGAAAGATAATCAGTCCTGCTATTCCATCATGGTTAGAAGAGAAAGTCCCATATTAATTTTTATATTTTACAAGCATAAAATGTTTAAAAATAAAAAAAAAATTGGGGAACATCATTCTTTTGTCCCTGACAGTATTTATTTTTGGTTCCATACATCTGGCCATCAAGTAAATAGTGATCTAGACCAATTTCTCAACCTTCAAACTACTGATATTTTGGAAAATTCTTGGACGTAGGGAGCTGTACTGTGCACTGTAGGGTGGTTGGCAGTTGTGACAACCAAAAATGTCTCCAGTCACTGCCAAATGTCCCTAGGGGTGGGGGCTGGGGGAGCAAAATTGCTCCAGTTAAAGACCAAACTTTCAATCTTGTAGCAACCCAGAGACCATCCCTTTTGACGTGAAAGTAAGGGAACCTAAAAAAAAATAAAAGGGGCATATAGAGAGGGCACAGAAGCCAACCTGAAAGTTCCCAATGGCCAAAGCTGAAGCAACTTGAGTGAAGAACAAAAAAATACCCAAAGCATAAAATAAAATCCATTAATTCATACTGATATAAACAAACAAACAAACAAACAAACAAACAAACAAATGTGGGAGAAGGTATTCACTTCCTAATAGGGAAACTCCAGTTAATAGATACAGAAGGAATGAGAATAAAGAAAATCACCATTAGAGTACCACAGTGATGCTATGGGCGGGATCCGCCAAGAGGTGCTGTCATGAGTGGGAAAAGGTTTAAATAGAAACAGTGTGTTTGCATAACCTCAAAGTATTTCCCTTAAAATATTTAGTAATTACAGGAGCGTGGAAGGATATGATAACTTTACGGTGGAGAACCGTGACAGAGAACACTGTGGCCAGGTGATCGAGGTCAGCATCCCCAATAATACATATTGATACTATATATCCCCTGATATTATGGGCTGATAAGGCCACTTCGCCTCTGTGGTAGCCTTCCTCAAAATGCACAATCTCAAGGTAACCACAAGAAAAATTGAGACAAAACTAAACTGAGGGGTATTCTACAAAATAACTGAGTGTTGCTCTTGGAAATGTCGAAATCATAAAAGACAAAGAAAGACTGATGAACTGTCACAGATCGGAGGAGACTAAGGAGATATGATGTGGTATCCAAGACTGGATCCTAGAACAGGAAAACTGCATTGGTGGAAAACCTGGTAAAATCCAAAGAAAGTCTGCAGTTTAATTCACAATATTATACCAAGATTGATTTCTTAGTTCTGAGGACTCTGCAATGGTTATGTAACATGTTAATATGGGGGAAGTTGACTGAAGGGTGTGTGACAGTTCTCCATGGTGTTTTTCCAACTTTTCTGTAATTCTAAAATTATCTCAAAATCAAAATGTTTTAAAACCTGGAGCATCCTTTGGTCTCAACTGTAGATATATATCTGTGTATTATAAAAATCTTATTAGACTAAACATTGCAAGCACAGAATCTCAGAGTCTAGATCACCCAGTTTGATTCCTTCATTTTACCTTCTGGGCAAACTTGGGCCAGGGAAAGAATGGGATCATTCCAAGTTGATGCAAACAGTGGCAGAGCAAGGACTGGAACCCTTTTTCCTGCCCTCAGGTGAGAGTTCTTGTTTTATCTTCCTCATAGTCTCTTGCTCCCGCCTCTAAAATATCTGCAAACATACCCCGAGATGTTTTGTGTACATGTAATGGTGGACATCTGTTCTCTAGAGCAGGGGTCGGCAAACATTTCCTGTAAAGGGCCACATAGTAAATATTTTCATTTCTGCAAGATATGCAGTCTCTGTGGCAACTACTCAACTCTGCTGTTGTAGCAAAAAGCTGTCATGGACCGTGTGTAAACAAATGAGTGTGGCTTTGTGCCAACAAAACTTTACGAAGGCAGGTTGGGGGCAGGATTTGACTGGTGGGCTACAGTTTGCCAGTCCCTGCTCTAGGTCTTTGCGGTAAAAGATTATTTTTTTGTTAGCTCAGGTTCCTGCACCCAAGATGTAGAAGATATAAGCATGTTGCCAGCTGGTCAACAGTACTGGAGAAGAGGTTGTGATGATGCGATTTTCTAAAATGAAGGAAGAATAGCAATAGCAACGTCCTTTGTGTCACATCTGCCCAAGAATAGGACGGTTAAGTAGTATACAGAATGTCAAAGAAAATAAGCTCATAATGGAGAGATGAAGAGCTGCCCCTCTAACATATCATTATGCCTTTCTGGCAAGGTGGGGGCTTTTTGCAGAAATGCCCAGAGCTGTGGAGCTTTCAGGTTTCAAAGACAAAGAATTAAATCTAATTTTAAAATAGTTGGTATTTATGCTAAAATATATACATACACACACATAGAAGAGCACAGTCTTATAATTTAAAGTAGTAGAAAAAAAAGACAGAATAGAAAGAATAATTCTGTTAAGAGAGCATGATCCATTATAACTCTGTTTAGTATTGACAGAAAGCAGGCATGAGCGAGTAGCCTGAAAGTAAGAGAGAGAATATTTTTAAATGCAATGTTTAATGTTATTTCCAAAGAAAATGCTTCCTAACTGAATTAGTCTTTCAATTTTTTTTCCTATTTAATAATGGTTATTACCTATTTTAAAGATGCCCTGTGATGAAAATAGTCTTTTGAGACGAAGTAAAAAACTTCAGTGGTATCTTCCTTTCTCACTTTTTCTCATTCATCTGCAATTCTTAACTACAAAATAAAACAAACAAGAAAAATACTAAATATCCTGAGCATGCGTTTAAATAATTTCTACTCCTGATAGTTTCTTGGCATCGACTTAGTACTTCCATGGGTCTGATTAGCTTGTTGCTTCTCGAGCTAAACATTTCGCACCCAAATTTTGTTTCCTCCTCTATTTTACCAAAACCTTACATGGAGACTCACCTTTTCGTTCCATCGTCAATCCTGATATATGGTGGCTCGGCTGATTAGAGCGACGTGGGCCGCAGGTGCAGTCTGTCCAGGGTTCAGCCAGCAGCCCAACCGTACCACACTCTTGAGTCCTAAGGGACACCTCACTTTTCCTGGGAGGCTGCTGGAATAAATGACAAGAGGGCAGGAAAGAAATTAGTGAGGACTCAAAGCCACATTAACCAAGAATACCAAATTTCCTGGGACAGGCCACCTCCAATGGTTGGCTTCACTGACTACGTCCTAAATACATTTGTTCTAGTCAGATTCTGAGTCTAGAATTTTAATTTCAAGGCTAAGAGACATCAGATCCAGCCAGAAGAGTTGGGATGGGCAGTAAATGGGAATAAACTACGTGAGGCTCCCAAAACCTTGGTCACCTTTCC